TCCACCCAGAGGAAAAGTGTTCTTCCCATACATCGAGGGAACCACTGAACACATAGGAAAGCTGATGAGGAAACACAACATACAAACTATCTACAGACCCACCAAGAAAATCCAACAAATGCTGCGTTCAGCAAAGGACAAGAGGGATCTTCTCACTTCAGCAGGAGTCTACCGTGTACCATGCAGCTGTGGACAAGTCTACAGAGGGACCACCAAACGCAGCAGCATTACCCAAAAACGAATCAAGGAACATGAAAGGCACTGCAGACTACTTCAACCAGAGAAGTCAGCCATAGCAGAGCACCTGATGAACCAGCCTGGACACAGCATTTTATTTGAGTATTTGAGAATGCTGGACCACTCTCACAACCACCATGTCAGACTACACAGAGAAGCCATTGAAATCCACAAGCATGTGGACAATTTCAACAGAAAGGAGGAAACCATGAAAATGAACAAAATCTGGCTACCAGTATTTTAAAAACTCTAAAATTACAACAGCAAACAACAGAGAGGAAACAAAAAAGGACATCTAATCACCTCTCAACAAAAGTTTGCTCCAGGCACTGTCAGGCCATTATATGCTAATCAAGGTGGTCAGTTGAAACATTATTTATTTATTTATTTATTTATTTACTCCATTTGTATACCGCATATATCAGCCTAAAGCGGCGACTCTATGCGGTTTACAGTAAAAAACAACACTAAACAATGTATAAGACACACAATACAAACAACACATAATCATCAACGCCACACTTAGAATCAGAATACCGATCTCATAATCCATTTCCATTCCTTGTCCAATGCCGTCATTATTGAATTGGTTGTTACTGCATAGACTATCCGAATGCCTGCTCATAGAGCCACGTCTTCACCCTCCTCCGAAACACCAGCAACGAAGGGGCCTGCCTGATGTCCACCGGTAGCGCATTCCATAGCCGAGGGGCCACCACCGAGAAGGCCCTGTCTCTCGTGCCCGCCAGCCGCACTTGTGACGCCGGCGGAACCGAGAGCAGGGCCTCCCCGGAAGATCTTAACGCTCTTCCCGGTTCGTAGGAGGAGATGCGTTCGGAGAGGTAAGTGGGGCCGGAACCGTGTAGGGCTTTATAGGCTAAAGCCAACACCTTAAATTGTGCCCGGTAGCGAATTGGCAGCCAGTGGAGCTGGTTCAACAGGGGGGTGGTATGCTCCCTGAGAGCCGCTCCCGTTAGCAACCTGGCTGCCGAGCGCTGGACCATCTGAAGCTTCCGGGCAGTCTTCAAGGGCAGCCCCACGTAGAGCGCGTTGCAGTAATCTATACGGGATGTGACAAGAGCGTGGACTACCGTAGCCAAGTCCGACCTCCCAACATTCACACCTAGTTCCAACAGACAAGAGTTCTGGTCATTCCACAGATATATAAACCCACTTTCCTAGTTCCAACAGACCTCACTACTCTGAGGATGCTTGCCATAGATGCCGGCGAAACGTCAGGAGAGAATGCCTCTAGACCATGGCCATATAGCCTGAAAAAACCTACAACAACCCAAAGTTAAGAGAGCTTTCTGTGGTGGAATGAAAATCACACATAGCTCACGTCTTTACCAATCCACACACTGTTTTGCTAGAGAAAAGATATGCCACACAGATAATCAGTAAAGAACAGGGTGTTTACTCTTTGTTATACAGAGCAACATATATACAGTCATGTGAAGAGTTGCATTGACTTGACCAATGTCCTTTTAAGAGAGGTTCAAATGGTCCTTGGGTGTCCATGTGAGAGATCCTCTTCCAACAGTTCAAAAGCAGAAATACAAAACTGACTTGGTAAGCGCCCTGCACAGCAAAATCTAAAGATGTAACTGTTGCCAAAACTCCCAGGCTCAGCTAGCTTCTCAGGTGTGGCCCAACCAATCAGCTTCATATTTTGCATTTTTCAGTTAACACACTCACCAACTGATTTTTACATGCTCCAACCATCTCATACTTCATACTTTAATCAACAAAACAACGCAAGAGCATCTGTTGTCACTCCTGCTGATAATGGGACATCTGTACTTTTGAATTTCAGCATCCTTTGATGAAGTTACATATGCAAAACCTTGCAAATAGGGTGCAACACTTCATGCATTTGATAAAGAAGAATGGAGATTCCACCTGAACATTAGGAAGAACTTCCTGACTGTGAGAGCTGTTCAGCAATGGAACTCTCTGTGGTGAAGACTCCTTCTTTGGAGGCTTTTAAGCAGAGACAGGATGGCCATCCGTCGGGGGCGCTTTGAATGTGATTTTCCTGCTTCTTGGCAGGGGGTTGGACTGGATGGCCCATGAGGTCTCTTCCAACTCTTATGATTCTATGAGTCTAAGTGTGCTGCCATATTAGATGTGCTAGTCCTCAGAGTTCCATAAAACCCTTTGTTATTTTGCTAAACCTCTCTAGAAATTTACAGGTGTGCCATATTTATATTTACCATCTACTCTCACAGGGAAACAATGTTTTCCATGAGCCCAAAACTGTTGATTGGAAGGAGATGCAAAGAGTACTCAAGTCCTGTTTACTGGTCTTCACCAAACTTTATGCCACTTCCACAATGGTATGAGTAACTTTTGGAATGGATAACTACAAGGGTGATGGACTCACCGAGGCTGACAGGAAGAACAAAAGTCAAAAGGAAATTACTCATTTAGAAATGTTATCACCGATCTTTCAGCCCATGGTACCACTTCAGGCAAAACATACTAATGCTATTGCATCAGTAGTAGAAACCTTCTCACCCAAAACAATCACCCAATAAACTTGTGTTGAAAGATCTTTAATCCTCTAAAAACATGGCTTTAAGTGTTTTATGAAGCAAGAACAGGTTGAGTATCTCTTAGCCAAAGTGATAATGTTTTGGATTTCAGATTTTTTTCCCAGATTTTAGAAGACCTATCTCCCCAGCAACTTCAGAATTGGGGGTGACTGTGTGACATTTTGAGCCTGAGCTCTGCGAGTGCAGCATTTTTCCGAATGAAGCAGAGAGTGTTTGAGGACCGGGACATCCGGAGGGATACCAAGGGGCTTGTTTATAAAGCTATTGTCCTCCCAACCCTGCTATACACCTGCGAAACGTGGACTGTCTACAGACGTCACATGCAATTCCTGGAACGATTCCATCAGCGCTGCCTCTGGAAAATCCTGCAAATCTCTTGGGAAGACAAGCGGGCAAATGTCAGCGAGCTGGAAGAAGCAAAGACCACCAGCATTGAAGCGATGGTCCTCTGCCATCAACTCCGTTGGAACGGCCACGTTATCCGGATGCCCAACCACCATCTCCCAAAGCAATTGCTCTACTCTGAACTCAAGAACGGAATGTTGGAGGACAGGAAAAGAGATTTAAAGATGGGCTCAAAGCCAACCTTAAAAACTCTGGCATAGAGACTGAGAACTGGGAAGCCCTGGCCCCTGAGCGTTCCAGCTGGAGGTCAGCTGTGACCAGCAGTGCTGTAGAATTTGAAGAGGCACGAATGGTGGGCAAAAGAGAGAAACGTGCCAAGAGGAAGGCACATCAAGCCAACCCCGACCAAGACCGCCTTCCACCTGGAAACCAATGCCCTCACTGCGGGAGAACATGCAGATCAAGAACAGGGCTCCACAGTCACCTACGGCAAAGACATTGACCTTGACTCTGCACTTTACGCTATCTGTAAACGAGGGCTGCCCATTCTCTAACCAGTAGCAACTGCTGTGTTTTATTGTGTATTTTATTTATACTGAGTTGGGCTTGTCTCTTTTATGAATGCCGTTCTATGTTCTGTTGATATTGTTTTATTGCAATGTTGATGTTATTCTGCCTGTATTTTATATGTGCTGCCTTAAGCCGAGTCCCTCCAGGAAGATGGTGAAAGGATATAAATAAAGTTATTATTATTATTATTATTATTATTATTATTATTATTACTAGCCATACCCTGCCATGTGTTGCTGTGGCCCAGTCTATGTATATGTGTTTTGTGTGTGTGTATATATATATTTGTGTATATGTGTATCTATGAGGTTATGCGCATATGTGGTAATGTAATGTATTATTTATTTATTTTTATTTTTATTTTTTGCTTTTTAAGTCTCTTCTGCTGTGTTTTTCAGTGTTTTTATGAGTGATGGACACTTATTGACCTGATAGGTGTCTTGTGTCCAAATTCGGTGTCAATTCGTCCAGTGGTTTTTGAGTTATGTTAATCCCACAAACGAACATTACATTTTTATTTATAAAGACTAGCTGTCCCCTGCCATGTGTTGCTGTGGCCCACATGGGGGTTCTGTGTGGGAGGTTTGGCCCAATTCCATCATTTGTGGGGTTCAGAATGTGATTGTAGGTGAACTATAAATCCCAGCAACCACAACTCCCAAATGTCAAGATTCTATTTTCCCCAAACTTCACCAGTGTTCACATTTGAGGATATTGAGTATTTGTGTAGAGTCTGGTCTAGATCCATCATTGTTTGAGTCCACAGTGCCCTCTGGATGTAGGTGAACTACAACTCCAAAACCAAAGGACACTGCCCATCAAACCCTTCCAATATTTTCTGTTTGTCAGGGGAGAACTCTGTGCCAAGTTTGGTTCAATTCCATTGTTGGTGGGGTTCAGAGTGCTCTTTGATGGTAGGTGAACTATAAATCCCAGCAACAACTCCCAAATGACAAAATCAATTTTTTTGAGTGAAGGACATACATTGGGTTGTTAGGTGTCTTGTGTCCAAATTTGGTGTCAATTCGTCCAGTGGTTTTTGAGTTCTGTTATTCCCACAAACGAACATCACATTTTTATTTATATAGAAGATTATCATTATCATCATTATCATCATCATCATCATCATCATCATCATCATCATCATCATCTTTGGAAATGGGATGGAGCTACTTTAAATTAAAGGAGGTTCGAGACATCCAGTCAGGGACCAATGAAAGCAACGGAAGGGGAAAAAGAGAGAAAAACAACTGGGTGGCTCAGTCATTTGAAGCGCAAAGCTTTACTCACCCTTTTCTCCTGCTCCAAGGGACAGGCGCTTGAAATCCAGGGCCTCTTTTGAGCTCTCTTTTTCACTCTCGGCCTCCTCACCATCGAACTGAGCCTCTATGACCACATCAGGGCTGTTGGCATCTCCTTTCCCTGGGTCAGGAAGGGCACAGGAATCCCCAGTGGCATCTGTTCCTTGGGCAGCTTCCACTTCACTATCACAACCCTCTGCTTTGTTTACCTGAAAAGCAAGAGAAGAAAAATTTGCATTCTGGGCAACTTGGCCCAATGGAAGTCCCATGTGCCACATCCATCAATTCTGTTGCAGCCACTGTGCCACTGTAAACCGTGGCGGAAATCAAAGAAGTAAAGAGTTGTAAAGAATCAGTAAAACCCACTGTCCCTCATGCAGAATATCCACAGTCTCATTGGTGGGTTCAACCCCAGACTTAAAAGCAAGCAACAAAGGAGAGTGCATCACCCACAAGATTATCCTCTGGACCATCACACAGGCCTGAGAAGAGGCGAGGTGCTAACTAATACTTTCTAGGTCAGTGGTTCTCAATCTGGGGTCCTCAGGTGTTTTTGGCCTTCAACTCCCAGAAAGACTAACAGCTGGGATTTCTGGGAGTTGTAGGTCAACAACATCTGGGGACCCCAGGTTGAGAACCAGTGTTCTAGGTTCCTCTGATCTCTCATTACAGGGACCTCCATCCTCTCATTCCACTTTGGAGGAGGAATCTCCTTCAGGTAAGAAGGAACCACCTGGATCTAGGCCAGTCACCAGCACTCTCGAAGCGACTCCACCCACCATCATTTTTTTTTTAATTTACTATACTTGTATACCGGCTGCCTCAGCCCATCGGCGACTCAAGGCGGTTTCATGGTCCAAGTGGGGCACACAACAAATAAATACAGCACAGGTGATAACAGCTAGAAAAAGCAACTTTTTCAACCACAACTCCTAGAAGTTTTTAACCAGGAGCATCAGTGATGGGGTTATTGGGTTATGGTAATAGAGGTTCAAAAAGTAACTTTTCCAAGTGTTAGAAAAATCACCCAGCAGGGCTGTCTCATCACCAAAATATACCCTGTATATGAAAGTTACCAAAGGGAGAAAAAGAGAGAGAAGGAACACTTTTCCTCTGGGTGGATCTTCGTCTTTATTCTCGTGGCTTGTTCTTGGTTGTCTTGCAGCTCTTCTGATGTCTGAGGTGGAGTCTCCATTGGCCTGAAGAGCCCAGTTTAGGTGGTTCAGTTCATCTTGGAGGAGGTGGGCTGCGCAGATTCTTTTTGCACGGTCTGCCAAGGCTTTAATGGTCCTTCTTTTTTGACTTGGGTGATGGTTGGAGTTTTTATGTAGATATCTGTGTGTGGGGGTTTTCTGTAGATGGTGTGACACAAAAGAACCACCTAAGCTGGGCTCTCCAGGCCAATGGAGACTCCACCTCAGACATCAGAAGAGCTGCAAGACCAAGAACAAGCCACGAGAGTAAAGTTGAAGATCCACCCAGAGGAAAAGGTCGACAGACACCCCTCAGATCACTCTATCCTCTGCTTCAAGGGAAAGAAATGGCTGAACATTTGAAAACACAGGCCCATATAACTGAGGAACAGCAGCTTATTTGTTTTTTCATCCTGCCAATCACCCAAGCCAATCGAATTCCAAACAGAAATGCAGACTCAGAAACCACTAAAAGTTCAGATCCTGATTCTGATAGCAGGAACACTTTATGCTGCATCTCTTATTTTCTTGGATGGAGCGGAATATAATTGCAAGAGATGTAACTCATGATAACAAGGTGGTGCTGGCGGTCATTATGATGTCTGCTTTGGATGATGCCGATACGCTACTGAAGAGTTAAAACACCATTGTAATGTGAATAAGACACTTTATGCTGGAGAAACATTTATCTCCTGGACTTGTTCTGCAAAAATATTAATTCCTTCTCTTTCTCCATAATAATGATGTGTTCTAAATGCTGTTTCTAATCCTAGGTAATAAATAATGTCATGGCTACACCAGAGATTTCATCATGATTAGACAAATTGTACAGTTTGTCCACAGAGGTTGAACAAATACATGGAGCATGAAGCCATCAACTGCTACCAGTCGGAATGACTAAATATCACCTAATGCCACTGCACTTACGAACTATAGTACTATTGTTATTCCTGACAAGAATAGACCCATGGAACCAATTGGATTTACTTATATGTTGGTTCACCATTCAACAATGGATCCAATGGGATTATTCCCCAGTTGGGACTCGCAAACAGTATCCTGCCCATATTCTGCTGATGGGCTTCCCATGGACAACTGACTGGCCATTGTGTGAACACAACATTGATCAACACAGGCTTTTGGTTGGACTCTGGAGGACTCTTCTTCTGTTTCTCTTTCAGAATCTTATTATCTGTCAACTGTAGGGCTACTGGTGAACCCTGAAGGAGACTTTGCTGTGAACTCATATTGCGGCACTGGGTTCGCAAAGAACTCTTGACTTCTCCACTGCCCTGATGAGGCTCTCAAGCTAAGAAACTGTAAACAAGGAGTTGGGTTGCCGCTACCTCTTGTGGGTGGGGATCAAAACACTCTTTTAATTTATTTTTGTGGCACTCAAACGTGGACTAAGCTTTGCACAGCAAACGAAATAGCCCACAACCCCGCCAAATCACTCAGAACCTGAAAAATACCAGATACAAAAATGGGGAGGGAAGAAAGGATTGAGCACACTTTGTGCCTATGGAACAGGCAAAATGCACCTTGTAAACAAGCACACTTCGCAAAAAAGCTGGAAAGCGTTTCAAATGGGGTGGAGGATCAGGGAGTGTGAGTAAAGAGGCTTAGGCCAGTGTTCAAGGAACATAAGAATTGCCTTATAATATCAGACCAAGGCCCACCACTTGCCAGAAGGTAAATGCCTCTGAGAAGGTCAAACAGAGGAGATGAAGGTCACCAGCATGCTCCACCAACTATCCCTGACCTAGAGGTTTCATTCATTTATCCATCTGAACTCAGTACCAGTGACCAACCTCTCTTCCATCCAATTAGAGACTGACCTCTGGGGAAGGACTTCAGCAGGGAGAAGAAGTCCTAAGAAAGGGGCAGCAAGGAAGGAGGTGAGTGCTGAGCCTAAACTATAGATCATATTTGATGCTGTTTGTGCAAGCGTACCTCCCTGTTGTGTGCTCAGTACCTCTTCCCCAAGATTTGCTGACAAGTGACATTCTGATCTAGAAGTTGCAAGACCAAGTCTTTCTCAGAATAGCCTTCTCCAAACTGATGCCCTCCAAATCTGTTACTCCACCAACTCCTAGCCCTCCCAGACTACTATGCTCGCTGGAGGGTTGTGAAAATTGTAATATCCCTCAACCACAACACTTGGGGGACCTCACTTCATTACATACAATGAAATATCTTGGATCAGGGACCCAAGCCTAAATTCCAGATACGGGTTGAGCAACCCATATAACACATCTAGAGATCAGCAGGTTTCTATCCTGGTTCAAAACAGGTTCTCTCTCACCCCCAAACAGTTTTGGGAAGGGGTGGAAACATGGTAAATGGTAAACTTTCAATATTGAAAAACTGAGGACAGAGTGCATGTTGGTCCAAGGTCTGCTGTACTTGGATAGATCCTTGAGTTCAGGTAGTTGCAAACCTTCATCAAAAACTGTGCATTCCTTGCTCCCAATTTCCTGCAATCCGCTGTTTTCACAAAGCACCAATTTGGCATGTCTTAAGGCAGAGAATTCCAGGCCCATTTCTCTTTCCATCTTCTGACTGAGCAAGGGTCCACAATGTACCTATTTGTTTTCCTCATGCCATGACGCCCGCACCTGGACGCTTCAGGGTTGGGAGAACTCCTGGTGCTAAATGATCCATCAAGCCAAACTCACTGGAACTGGAGCCAGGAGAAGAAAGATAAAGATCTCTGGAAAGAAAGGCAACTGACAAGTCATGTTGTCCAAAGCACTTAAACGTGGGGTTTGCTCCAGAACGGCTACCAAGAGATTAAAGCTTTCCGGGGAATTAAGGTGTGTTGTATGGCATCGGATTGTGCCTTTATGTGTGCCACTCTGAATCCCCTTTGGAAGGCGCTGAACAGACTGTGCTCTGACACCACGAGATGCAGAGACAACCTCAAGAAATGGGGCTACAAAGTGGAATCCATGACATGCGAGTGTGGAGAAGAGCAAACCACTGACCACCTGCTGCAATGCAGCCTGAACCCTGCCACATGCACGATGGAGGACCTTCTTGCAGCAACACCAGAGGCGCTCCAAGTGGCCAGATACTGGTCAAAGGACATTTAATCAACTACCAAGCTTGCAAACTTTGTGTTTTGTTTGTCTGTCTGTCTGTCTGTTTGTTTGTTAAAAAAATGCAATGCAACTGTCTGGTTTGCCCCCAACACGATAAATAAATAAAAATCACAATGCGAAGACCAAAACTCTTTGGAATGCACCTGGCAGGGGAATGTCCTCACAAAAAATATGGTAGTGCCATTTTTGTTCGATTTGGTGTAGCAATCCCTGCAATCTCTCTTCGATGTCCCTGCATGAGGGTCTTCCTCCAGGGACAAACCAAGAATAGGAAACTTGAAAGTATAGACTCAGTATAGACTCAGAAGTATAGACTCAGACTGTATAGACTCAGAAGTGGAGTGAGCAGATCAAAAGACAACTTGGCAAAATGGCACGGCCTAAAAGAATCCTCCACCTTGTGCAACTGTGGAGCAGAACAGACAACTCCACATCTGTGTGCTTGTCCACAATGTCCTGCCTCATGTACAGAAGAGATGTTGGAGGCTACAGACAATGCGGTTGCTGTTGCCCATTTTTGGTCAAAAGATATTAAGCCATTTGTGCTCCTTCTATTTTGATCAGTTTTATGCTAACTTATGCAAGGCTTTTGATATGAAATAAATAAATTTGTCCCTAGATCTCTACCCTCTCTCCATATGCTATTTAGGGGAACATCACCTCAAAACAGCACTGGCAAATTCCTGATGCAAAAAAGAGAAGGAGAATAGAAACGAAAAAGAAATCACTGTTCCCAAACGGAGTGCAGGAGGAGGGCTCGGCAGCAATTAGCACCATTTCATCGAAAGGCACACCAGATTCCGGTTTTTATATATACACACATGCAGAGCCTCCGGGAGCGTCCTGCGTTTATGAAACTACAAATTTAATTACACTTCATGTTTCTATTACTGCAACTTGTACATGCAGTCA